TGGAGAGCGGCTGGGCCCGTGAGCCATGGCCGCTGAGCCTGCGCGTCTGGAGCCTGTGCTCCGCAACGGGAGAGGCCACAGCAGTGAGAGGCCCGCGTACCGCAAAAAACAAAACAAAAAATGCCTCAGATACTTCGTGATTCTGGGATATAATCTTCTCACAGTGTTTACTGGTAATAGCTTCCAGTTTTTGGAATTTACTAACATTAAATATATGCAGGTAGGACTAGCTAATACTGCCTTTAACTGTTTTTAATTTGCTTCCTAGTTATTTTGTTTTTATTTTTTGGCTGCACCATGCAGCATGTGGGATCTTAGTTCCCTTATCAGGGATTGAACCTGCACCCCCTGCATTGGAAGCGTGGAATCTTAACCACTGGACCACCAGGGAAGTCCCTGCTTCCTAGTTATTAGTGCATTTATTTCTTAGCATTTAAAAAAGCCTCTCTTGGGACTTCCCTGGTGGCGCAGTGGTTAAGAATCCGCCTGCCAATGCAGGGGACATGGGTTCGATCCCTGGTCTGGGAAGATCCCACATGCTGCGGAGCACCTAAGCCTGTGCGCCACAACTACTGAGCTTGCGCTCTAGAGCCCGTGCGCCACAACTACTGAGCCCGCATGCTGCTACTGAAGCCCGTGCGCCTAGAGTCTGTGCTCCACAACAAGAGAAGCCACCACAATGAGAAGCCCGCGCACCGCAAAGAAGAGTAGCCCTCGCTCACTGCAACTAGAGAAAGCCCGGCGCGCAGCAACGAAGACCCAACGCAGCCAAAAATACAAATAATAAATAAATAACTATTTTAAAAAGCTTCTCTCTTTGTACTTTGCTTCTTTTGTATTTTCCCTAGTTCTGACATTTTCCTACAATTCATATAAAAACATATTTTTCATCAACAAAGGTCTTGGTGACAATCCCTTTGTGATGTGTGATGTGAAGGAAATTAAAAAACTACTTATTTCCTGAGCATGAGGAAGGTGTAAAGGGGGGAATCACCTTGGGATTACAGAAGAAAAAAATGATTTGGGGAAAGAGAGAGATGAGATAAAGGAGAAAGGGGAAGAGCGAGTCCTAAGAAAGGAAGGAGAGGAAGAGAAAAGGATGGAAACGCCAGACCGAATTCCTGGTCTACCTTCTTGCTTACCTCTTAACCACAGAGGTCCCCAAACACCGATTTTCATCCCCAGGAATGCCAGAATGACACACGGTAAACTACTTAGTCATCCGCACAGGCTGCCTTAGAAGCAAACAAATACTGTTCAAGATCACATATTTATATTCCTTAACCTTGTTCTAGAAGGAGGGGTAAAATTCTGGGTGGAAGCATTTCCTTGGCAAAACACCCCCCAGGGGAAATATGGCCTGAGAGGAACAGAACAGGGTCCTCTAAAGGGTGGGACCCCCTTGCCCAGGTGTGAGGGTGGTCATAGGAATAAACCCCAGGGGTCCTCTAATCCTGCATGACACAAGCCCTGGCACTGACCCAGGCTTTGTCTACATATCTCAAAAGAGGAGGGACTCAGGATCCCAGGGCCACTCTGTACATGGGCTGCTTTGTTGGCCAACGAACTGAAATCTGATTCCAACTTCCTGGAATTTTGAAGCCGAAGAGAAACTCTGGCCTTGGGCAAAGACCCTGTGGCTGGAATTTGCACATTTATGCAATTGCCTAGCACAAGTCAGCTATCTGGGAAATGCTAGTAAGTACAACAAGCAAAATTACAAATATGTATACTTTCAAGAGGATGATAAAAAAATGTGGATTGTGTATCTCTGACAGAAGATGCCTTTGAGTCCAAGGGTGTAATTCAATAAATAAGTAATGGACAGCCAAGATGTGGCTGAATCAGCTTCTGCCTTGTTTCACTCTGGCCTTGAACTACGTGTCAGTGTTTCATCATCCTTACAACTAAATCCTCCCTACAGAGCATTAGACGGAAATGCAGATTGCATTGGAGTTCATGGGGAGATGGGAAGGATTTCAATCCCACAAAACAAAAACAGAAATCCCCAGTAGCCAGAGCTCTTCTCCCTTAGGTGTGTCCCTTATTGGGTCCCCTTGACTCCAAGTTTCTTTTCGGGATGCTTTCTCTATCTCCTCTTTTGAGTCAAGTAGGTCCAGCTCTTGCCCTCAACTTGCATACTTCACTGGGCATGAAAAACACCTGCAAGTCAGAGTTTCTCAAAGTGCCAGCATCAGCGCTACCTGGGCACAAGGTAGGAATGTAAATTCCAGGTTCCCACCCCAGACTCGCTGAGTCAGAAACATAGCAACCTGCAGTTTAATGAGTTTTCTGGGTAAGTCTAAGGCATGCTTCCAGGTTAAATTAACCTCACCTCTGAAAACAGTTCACTCATCTTTGTTATTCAGGCAGCCCCGAAGGGAGGGAAGATAAAAATCCTTCTCTTGATGCCCCCCTCCCCAGCCCCCTGGTTTATCAAACTGTTCTGCCAACAAAAGTATGTGTGTGTGTTGGCGGGGGGAGGGGAATTCTCATTCTAAGCCAAACTGTGGCAGACAAATGCACATCTATCGTAAAAAATTTTTTTGAGAGAACATTAGTAAAAGTTTAATTCGCACTCCCCAAAGGTATCCACCCATAGTCTCTTGTACATCTTTCTAGATTTCTGAGCGCACAAGTAAATATGTTTATACTTTTAAATAAAAACCCACAGAAGTAGTTTGTACTGTTTGCTCATTTCATGTTTTTGAAGTCTTGTCCTTGAAGGATAAGAAATACTCTGAGGTACGGAGGTATCATAAATTATTCACCCCTTCTACCCTTTTCCTTGACATTTGGGGCAGCAGAGTCAGACAAAACGCAGAGGTATGGAGAAATCAATCAGTTGACATTCTTTGGTATTTTCACGTTTGCGGCCTTGCCAAACAGGAAATATCCGAAAAGAATACACAATTCTGATAACCAAGTAACGTTTAGGACTACGAAAATTGCGGGGAAGAAAAGGTGAGACCAGGGACTGAGATGCGTCGACTTTACATACCCTCCGAAACCCAAAACACAAGACAATTAAAAAGTAAAAGCTATCAAAAGCACCCAGCTTGACAGTCCCAACTTCTAAAAAAACAAATGCGACAATATTATGACCAAAGTCAGTTATAACTAACTACATTTCCAGACAAAGGGACTTCAGATATTCAAGGCGTGCCGCGTATACCTCATTTTCCTTATTTTGTGTACTGCAATCCACGGACTACACACTTTGGAGGAGAAGGGCTGTTGTTTTTCGCCGTTCCAGGTTTCTGGGCATTTTACGGGCGCCGGGCGGGGGGAGCCGGCAGCACGAAAGGCAAGGCGCCCCAAGCGGCCCTTTGGCCCCGCCCCCGGTGATTCCCGGCCACTCGCGTCCCGTGGGGAGCGGGCTGAGGACGCGGGCGGCGATTGGTTCCGGGCCAGGGTGGGCGGGGTGCGGCAGCCCGGCATATAAAGGTGCCGCGGCTCGGCGCGGTGCTGCGTACTCGGTTTGCGTCGGCATCTTTGGCAGTGTTTCCCGCTTTTCCTGTGGTCTTCGCAGTGGACCGGAGCGCATCCCCGTGAGTCATGGCGACGAAGGCCGTGTGCGTGCTGAAGGGCGACGGCCCGGTGCAGGGTACCATCCACTTCGAACAAAAGGCAAGAACCGGCGGGGGGAGACCGGCGGCGAGGCCGTGCCCGCACACCTGTGCCCCGGAGCGGCCGGCGGGGCCTCGGGCCGACCTCGCCACGCCCCCGGCGCGTGGGTCGGCGGGTCGGCGCCCCCCGGGTCCTCGGCCGTGCGGCGCCCTCAGAGCCGACACCGCGCGCGGCCGCGGAGTGCTGAGTCACCGGGCGAGCCTGGCAGCGGCTGTGCGTGGCGAGGCCTGGGCGGGAGTGTAGGGAGGGAACACCCGGCCGGCCCGGTGGGTGCCGACCACCGCGAGTTTCGGAAGGAGAGAAAGCGTGGGAGGAAAGCCGGTTGCCCTGGCGCCTCCTCGGCGTCCGTAGGCCCGGGCGGAGACCTGAGGTGCTTGAGGACGCTGTGGCCCTTCTTGCGGGCTCAGATTCTGGGTCCTGAGATACCGCGGATGCTGAGTTGCGCAGTCCGAGGCCTGGCCGTTTCTTGAGACCCGGGGGTGGCGGATGCGGCTGGGCCGTCTGGGTCTCGTAGCAGCCGTATCCGTTTGGGACTTTCCACCTTGAACTCTCTAGTTCAGGGTGTCTGCAGACTGCGGCCCGCGGGCCTAATCTGTCCCGAGGCGGTGTTTGTACAGCTCTCGAGCTGAGTGGCTTTTATATATTTATGCTTTTATATGTTTGTGTTTAAAGGGTCGTGAAAACAAGAGTAGGTGACAGTGATCCTTTACAGAGAAGTTTGCTGACCCCTGCTCTAGGCCAGGGTCATCCTCTAAGGGCAAAGAGGACGGCCCTGGTCAGAGCTCCAAAAGCCAGAGATCTAACAGCCTCCATGGTTGGGGGTTTTCCAGAGGAGCGATTTTTAACTCTGGGTGCACAGCAGACTCATTTGGGGAACTTTTAAAATACAGATACCAGGGCTCAACTCCGGATCAATTACATGAAAACCTGATGGGATGCAGTCTGAGTGTTGCTCTTTTTAAAGCTTCCAAAGTGGTTCTTAACAGTGCACGGAGGATTGAGAATTCTTGTTGGTAGAGGGTAGTGGATGAGGTTTGGAAGTCCAACGTTAGGACGCCTAGAGTATTTCCATTGCATGGAATTGTCACTTCTGTGCTTGGAGCATTCGTTTAAACAAATTCCCTGTAAAGTGACTTTGAAATTTCTCTACCCGTGGGCCTGTTAGCTGAGATGGAGGCGGATAAACCCCTGAACAAATCTTGTAAAATAAAGTGTACAGACATACTCATTGATGATACTGCAAAACACAGGTGTTGTGAGGAAGGTGCTTGTAATAAGCCTGTCCCCCCAAATCTTAGTGAGGTTACCAGTGGGTGGAAAATTGTTTATGTTGGCTTGTTAATCATGAGGGAATATGAATGAGATTTAGTCGTTAAAGTGGTTTATGGAAATGTGAGAGGACATGCAAAGTAATCTAGGTAAGTGTCCCCCATCTGTGAGATTTAAACGAGAGAGAGCTTATATTTGAGCTTAATTTTTTCCTTTAGGTGGTTTCCAAATTTTCTAGAAAAGGCTCTTTGACATTTGACTGAATTTTGCTGTTTTCATTTGCAAGACTTTGTTTTGTCCGTCCTCTCTCCACTAGAGAACCTAAGAAGCCTCTGAGGAATTCTTTCCCTGTGGCCATTGAGAAAACGGCTCGTGGTGTTGCATTCAGAAGTTAAACTGGTTTTTCCACCTTCCCTGAGCAGCTTCTATGGCCCCTCTTTTAAGTTCCAGCGTCATTTTGCTGGTGCTCTTTGTACCTGATAAAGACTCTTGGATATGCAGATGTATTAAATTGACAATAAACTGTATTTCTTGGCCTATTGAGTGTTTAAAAGTTTGGATTAGTTTCCAGTTTTCAAAAATCGAAAAATTTCACCTATTAAGTCCAAATTCTTAGCTTCTCTTGAAAAATCTGGAGATCTGCCCATACTGAGCCTTCATTAGCCCAGGGCAGCGCTGTGCTGGACCGGTTTACATTCCTCCTGCTTCCCTGACCTGTTTTACTCATTTGAGGCAATAGCCTGGTCCCTGCGGGGTTGTACCCAGGCAGCTTACTGTTGAACTTCTTGTGCTCTATGCATTACCAATTAAGTGGAGGCTTGGAAGAACCTGCCATGTTTGTCTGTCTGTGCTCTTGATAACATGGCGTGTTTGGGGGAATAACGTTCACATTTGGGGTTCTCCAAAATTAAAGGTTGTACGTAGAAGAATCATAGTGTATCTATTCTCAAAAAGAAACACAAGAGGCAGCAGTTGCCAGGCCACTTCCGTTGAGCAGTGGTATCTAGCCAGTGAAAGTACGATCTTCAAGGCTAACACCTCTTGTAACTGTTGGCCCTGGCTTTTTAAAAAACAAAGACACCGTCGTGTGTTACTATATGGTGTGGATGCTGTGTCTATTTTATCGTACTTCCTAAGATCTCTTTGTAGCTGTAGAAGTAACTTCTTTGATTTCTATATGTAGCATGCGGTACCATTATCCATCAACGTTGCCTGAATTGCAGTGTGTTTTTTTTCACCTGTTTTAGTGTTTCATTGTCCTTTCTTTTTGGTCTCCGTAGTGGAAAGGTTATCTAGGTTTCAATGCCTAAAAAGACTTGAGAAAGCAGTACTTCTGTTTGGACTAGGATCAGTCCCCCAGGGGCAGTGAGGTAGGATATTTTCTGGCTGTAAATCAAAGATATCCACGCTGGAAACGGGTAAACACCCCTCTGGTGGAGAGTGGAGAACAGGGATCCTAGGGTAGCAAGTTGGATATTGCTTTTCTTTTTAAGGCAGATTTGTATGATTGCTAACATAGAAGAGTGCGTGAAGAAAGTAGGGTGCTAAAAAGTGTATGATGTGCTAACATTTGGGTTCAAAAGTTTGATTTGTACACATACACTCACTATGCGCAAGTACGACCTATTCGAAGTATTTACATAATAAACAAGAACTTACTCACATTACGTATGAATAGAGTAGCTTAGCAGCTTGCTGGAGGTTCACTGCTAGAAAGTGGCGGACCTGGGATTTGGACACAGATTTTTCGACTCCTGAGTCCATGTTCTTTTCACTTTCCTGTGAGTGGTAAAGATAATTCAACTGTTTTCTTTGTTCAGAAGCATTTGCTGTCTCAAACTTCTTGCACTTTTCTTTGAATAAAGGAAGATGGGACGGTCGTGGTATCGGGATCCATTACAGGATTGACTGAAGGCGATCATGGATTCCATGTCCATCAATTTGGAGATAATACACAAGGTGGGTGCTCTGCTGGTTTAGTGACTGACAGTTATTTCACCTAGTAAGATACACCGAGTAGAGTTACCCCCAAACATTAAAAACTTGTGACAGTTTTTTTAAAAGTTAATATGACTACTAAAGTCGATCTCAGGGATAAAAATGGCTTTTGACTCTTCGTGTGGAATGGAAGGAGAAGGAGTTGATGTTTTGTATCATGATTATGGGTTGATTATGTAAGAGTCTCAGGTGTGTTTTAAGTAAAAACGCAGCTTCTTTCTGACCTTCCCCTTTACTCCCAGGTGTTGGTGAGCTGGGGCTTGAGGGCAGGTGTGGCAAGCAGGGTGCATTTATCTGCATAACCCTGCTCTGCGCCTCTAGCCTAAGGGCCTTAGCTGGGGGGGGGGGGGGGGAAGGTACAAACTGATGAGGGGGTGTAAACTCTTCACACTTTGGATTGTGCTTCCATTTTCTCAAGTTGGGTTTAGAAGCAAGTCAACAAAAGCTTATGGTTTAAATTGCCATATTTGAGTAAACTTAGTGTTTAGACTTTTTATGGTGAGAACTTAATTCATTGTGCTGGAACGTGTGTGTGTATTGGAGTATAATTGCTTTACAGTGTTGTGTTGGTTTCTGCTGTACAGTGAAGTGAATCAGCTATATGTATACATATATCCCCTCTGTCTTAGAACTTGTTTTTAATGTTCCATAATTTGGTTTCTGTAAATAGTGATTTAATGATCAGATTTGATCCATTTCAACAATTATAAAAAGTCCTGGGACTTCCCTGGTGGTCCAGTGGGTAAGACTCCACGCTCCCAATGCAGGGGGCCCGGGTTGGATCCCTGGTTGGGGAACTAGATCCCGCATGCATGCTGCAACTAAGAGTCTGCATGCCGCAAGGAAGACCCGGTGCAGCCAAAATAATTAATTAAAAAACAATTCCTCAAGTCGTTTTTTTTTTTTTTTTTTTTTGGTTTTACTGCTTCTGCTTTGGGAGGTGATTGCTCTGTGGCTTTGACTTACTGTGCTACTTTCTGTAACCTGCATGTCTTCTTCCTGGGTAGAGGATGGATAAAAGCTGTAAACAGGGGAAACTTTCTGTCAGCTGTTGAATGAAGAACCATGTCATGAAAGAGCCTCCTGCATTGTTGTGGTTGTGTTCTATGTGAATGCTGTTCCCTGGTGCACTGGAGTGCCATTTTTACAGAATACAGTCTGAATGCCCCAGAGTTGTGCCGGGCAGCAGCCCTTGGATTAAGGTGCCGTTTTATATTCTGCACGCACAAAGTAAAGGCCATAAACAGGAGAGCTGCCTGGTAGTATGTTGCTGGGGAGATAAGTTTTTTGTAGTTGAGGTGTGCTGTTGTCTGATGAAGTAGGATCATAATCATGGGATTTTAACAGAAGAACCACTGAAGATCAAGTCTTGGCCTTCTCATTTTACAGGGCAGTGAAGAAACCAGAGCCCAGAGAAGGGTATTAATTTAACTTCACCGGTGTTACACAGTAGTTAGAATGTCTTTACTCCCTGCCCGTTTTGTTTAATGTGTTGCTTTCTGTTTTTATTAGCCTAGAAGTCACAGTGTGGGTCAGTACTTTCTCCATTTGAGGTTTTTAGCAATGACCAGTTTCTTTTGAGAACTTACTTTGGAATTTTGATTCATAATTTAGCACTTTTTTTTTTTTTTTTCCGTAAACAGGCTGTACCAGTGCAGGTCCTCACTTTAACCCTCTATCCAAAAAACACGGTGGGCCAGAGGATGAAGAGAGGTGAGTGACCTTAACTCTTTTTGAAATAATAGCGACGGCTTTGAGGGGGCAGTATGGGTATATGACCTGCAGATTGCATGCTAAGATAATTGCACCTCTGCTCTTGAGTTTGTTGCCCCCATGTAACCCCTTGCCCCCAAGTGCTGGAATGGCTTACTCCTTGGGCTAAGGAATTAAATAGGGACACTTAAAACGATTTGGTTTTGTAGCATTTATTGAATATAGAGCTCATACAAGTGTCAAAGGGATCTAATACAGGAAATGTCATGAATAACAGTACTGTCAACCACTAGCAAAATAAACCATTGTGAAACACTGGAAGGTTTGTAGATAAAAATTTGATATTGAAAATTCAGTGAGACTCCCATTTGTGTTTGTTTTCTGAGAGCCTTTCAGGAAAATATTAAATTTAAGGACAAGGATTAATTTATTTTTATATCAGAGGCCTAGGGGCATAGCTCTGCCATGCCAGGAAATAACAGGCGTAACTCAGTAACTTAAGAGTTTACCCTTTGGTCCTTTACCTGTGAAATTAGAGGTGCACCCCCCCATCCTACCACTCTTCCCAGAGCATTGCTTTATAGACTTGAAGCCTGTGTTTGAAGAGCTGTGTGTCTAGAACATCTAGTTACTTGTTTTTAAACTTACATGTTTTTCAGGGTTTTGTCAGTCTGGAAAAGTGGGTTCTATTTGATATAGACTATATCCACCTCTTAGCCCACCTTTACATATCTGACTCAGTCCATTTTTAATTTAGCTCATAAAGTAAAGTTAAACAGAAACCAGTCCTAATCCCTCTAACGCTTTTTCAATGTTAGGCATGTTGGAGACCTGGGCAATGTGAAGGCTGACCAAAATGGTGTGGCCGAAGTGTATATTGAAGATTCTATAATCTCACTCTGTGGAGACCATTCCATCATTGGCCGCACAATGGTGGTAAGTGTTCATATAATAAGAATATGCATAAAATTACTTCTAACACATGGTCACATATGTTTTCATGATGTCATGATTATTAGTCCTGGTCTCTAAGGATCCATATAAATTGTACTTTTAGTTCAGATTAGGAAAAGCAGTTATTTTATTGCATGATTACAGTGAAGAAGAATTAATGATCTAGGTCAGTTAAGAACACTGTTTTGCTAAGATGCGGTAATAAAGTAGATTACATTAGATCTGTGTTACAGAAACAGGAGTGGTCTTCATCTAGTTGGCCAGACTTTCTTGCCACTACTGGCTTTCCCCCTTGTAGTTAACCAGAGCATCTTAAGTCTGAAATCGGATGGACCTCAATACTAATTAATACTCATTCATGTCTGCAGGTTATCATCACTTGTTTAATATGTGGGAAGCAGTTGCCCCAAGTTACGTAGAGCTGCATCTGGTTCATACAGAACACCACCTAGGATAGGCTCCCTTTTGCCTGCCCCAGAGGACAGTTAACATTCAGTAGACACCTCCTTTCAGTTGACCCTTTTATTAGAATTTTCTTCACCTGTAGTTGTGAAGCAGAAAAATCACATATCAGTGTTTGATGAGCAAAATTTAAAACACTACTGCTCGAATACGTCAAGATATTTTTAGGATTACCTCTTGTTTATGGGTCCGTAATTAGGCACGATTTTGATGTTCTTTTTTGTTGTTTACTTTTTTCCCCCCCAAAACAATTTATACAATAAAAGAATGACTACTGTAACTTGAGACTACTAGAATTTCTCATGTTGGATTCAGCATGTGGCAGCCGTGTAACCTATTGTATGGGTTTTTTTTGTGTTTCATTTAGAGATAGCACTGCTTACCTAGTGTTTGAGGGTAACTATTTCTTTGCATTATCAAGAAAAAGCTTTGAGGAGTAGTTTCTACTTTTTACTATTAAATATTAGTATACTTTCCTCCTAGTAAAATTATTTTAACATGTTATTTTCTAATATTAAATGGTTCTTAAGTCTTTTGGGTATTGTTGAGAAGATATGGTCATTGCTTGATAGCCCTAAGTTAATGCGTTCTTAAAATTTTTTAAAGGTCCATGAAAAACCAGATGACTTGGGCAGAGGTGGAAATGAAGAAAGTACAAAGACAGGAAACGCTGGAAGTCGTTTGGCCTGTGGTGTAATTGGGATCGCCCAATAAACATTCCCTAGGAGGTGGTCTTGAGTCCTAGTAACTCATGTTATCTTGCTAGTTGTAGAAATTTAACTAGAGAAACATTAAACACCGTAACCTTAAAAGTGTATTTTGTGTGACTTTTAATTGCTTTAAGTACCTGTAATAAGAACTGATTTATGATCACTTGAAGATTTGTATAATTTTGTAAGACTCATACTCAAGTGTCTTGTTTCAGTGGTCTCTGTATTTTGCCAAACTTAGTCACATATGGATATTATTTGTCTGAATTTCTTCAGTTCTCAAGCCTGCAATAAACATTCTCTGTGGCACTACTGTATTTTGAGCCTATTAAAGTATCTAAATTGAAATTCTAAATTAGCTCTGATACTCATACACAGAGCTTGAACGGAACAGATTTAGTAATATGTTGACGGGTATTAACTTTCATAGAGCTCTTTTTTGAAAGTGTTTGTTTTAAATAAGATCAGAATGTTTAAAATGTTAGCAACTGGTACATTTAGCTAAGACTAAGCTGAACTTTAATCTCAGACAAATAGGCTATCCTTTGTTAGCTTTAGGGAAATTAAAGTGGTACCTTTATTTTAAAAAGTAGATGTTGCAGTTTAAGAGAGCCCTTTGATAACTTTCAGTGAAATTGTGAATGGCAAGTTAGTTAGAGCTTCAGGTAGCTGAGAAGACTGACCTACCTGTCAAATAGCACATACTGCATTTTTGTAGAACTGTGAACGTTTAGTTTATAATAAAAGTAGAGGTTGGCACAATCTGCTTTCAGATAAGCTCCTTAAAGAAATACATTATGCCACTGTAAGGTGGAAGCAAAGAAATGTTTGATTGTGGGTTCTGTTTGTTTAAATACAAGAACTGACACACCCAGTTAGTGAATTCAAGTCTGTTTCTCTTAATGGAAATATGTACCTGTAAGAGAATGCTTTTAAGTGTTAATCTAACTCAGGTTTGACGGTGGGTTATAATAATATTACTTCTGATAGGGAAGCCAGATAAGCAACAGTTTTGGTTGGTCATAAATTATATGATGGACTTTATCAAGCGAAGGTCACTTAGGAGAGGAAAAGCTAATTGAGAGTAAGAATTTGTAGTGTGTGTGTTTTCAGAGTTTTAAATTGGTGATAACAGTATGCTCACAATAATGGTTACAGCTACCATCAGGTAGGGAATTTAAAAACAAACACTAACAAACAGATTTCATAATGTACAGTTTTGTTACATAAATGGGATAAGACTCAAATACAGGACTTGCTTGTGTCCTTTAAAGCCTCAAGTGTAATTACTACCACTTGGTACTTTCGGGGTTTTGCCATGTGCAAATAGGGTGACCTTAATACTTTCAATTGGAAATACAGGGCTGCGAGTCCTTGAAATCTGAACACTAATCAATCAGGTGTATTTTTATTTCCAAAAGCAGTTTCAGCTGGGACTTTTAAACTTCTCAGTGGGCCAACGTAAAACAGGATAAATTTTATAACTCAAATCTGCATATATGAAACCGGATTTTCTCTTACTTTCCAAAGGCAGGGACTCAAAAACACTGCCCTAGATAAATACATTTCCCCCCATCAAAACAAAGGTCTTGCTGCAGAAAACTCAAAACCAAAGTAATAAAGCAGCTTCGCGCCTGGGGATGGGGGTAAAGAAAAAAGTTATCTTAGGCACACTGAAACAATGACAGTTTAAAAATGTGATTTAAGAAGAAAAAAGCTTCAAGGCCGAAAGTACTAGGGTTATGTTAAGGGTCTTTTCCTTGGCACTAGGTAAGCAGCTTTATGTAACTGCTTTTCTGTACTATTTCAGGTATAGGTTTGATTTGGCTTTGGATGTCTTCATGTAATAGCTCTTGGATAACTAACCTACGACTATTTTTCCTAGTTAACCCAACAATTTTAAGGAAAAGAGAGAAAGTACTTTGTAAGTGGCAAAAAGTTCAGTTTACCTCTGCCCAGCAGGGGACTTTAAAAAATGGTAAAAGAAAGGCAACAGGCGAGGCTTGTATAGAAACAATAGGTTGCATTTAAGTCCTTAAACAGATAAGACCATAAGCTTTTAGGTTGCAAATACTAACCTTGATTTCTTTCACCCTTTTGAAAAATTTAATGGGATGGTTAAGAAAAACACCCAACCTTCTTTCTAAATAAGTAATACCCAGGCAATCAGATAATTTATAGTACAACGGGTGATGCTGGGGTCCAGTTTTTCCCCCCAGCGAAAAAATTTTTTTACAATTATTTAGGGCAACATTTACCACAAAGTCAATGGCAAAAAAAGACGACCTTGACTGAATTCCAAAACAAGCTTTTCAGTTAACATTAAAACCACTAACCTTTGCCTTACGATTGAAATGCTAAAAATAAAAAATATTACAAATGAAGTGTTTGAGACTAACTACATAAAGATGTCTATTTCCATCAAATATACAAGTCTAATTTAGACTCCAACACAGTATTAACAGCTCAAACTTTGATGGTGAACAATCCTTTTCCACCTTAATGCAGTGTAGGAAGAATAGCACACATTAAAGTTTGTTACGAAAATAGAGTTTATTAAAAACATCCCTATTGTTTTTGAGGAGCTTTCACCGTTACCTTGTCTTAAATTAAAAAAAAAAAATAGAGAGCACTTCTAATTACGATTTGTAAACTTTTTAAAGTCAAAACTTTTAAAAAGTTACAGCAAAAAGGGTAATATTTATTCATATTTTCAGTATTTTTTGTTATTTTGTGGCTATTTTTAAATAGAAGGGAAGCAATCAAATTGCTTACAATTCCCCACCAACTACTGCGGGGCTGTGATATAGCAGGAGCAAGTATAATACAGCATCTGTACACTTCAAGCTCTACACTCCAGGAAGTGTCACTGTCACATGTGGACAAATTCCAGTCTCTAACGAGGAGCCTCGGCTGCTGAGCCAGAATCCTTTTCAGGTTCAACGGATGAGGTAGCCTCAGCAGGTAACTCTTCAGAAGGTTTTACAACTGCAGACTCAGACTCCCCCTTATCAAGTTCTGAAACAGTGTCTACATTTCCCACTTGGCTAATGGGAGGTTCAACGGTTTTGTTACCGCCTGCCCTGTCTGTCACCTCAGGCTTCTCCTTGCCTCGGTTTTCCTCCTTCTCTCTACGAGACTCTCTATCTCTAGAATCTCTCTCTCTGTCTCGATGCCCACTAGAGCGTCTATTCCTCTCTTCCAAGTCTCTGTGCCTGTCCCGGTCAGGGCTCCTTCTTCCCCACTCTCTCCTTTCACGATTACTATTCTCTCTATCATCATTACGGTTCCCATACCGTTCCCGGTCATTTTCCACCCTATTTCCAAAAGATCTTCTTCCAAACCTTTCTTGGTCTCTACCTGAAGTGAACTGCTGCCTGTTATCGTTTCTAAACGGCTGTGGCTGCGCCGGCGGCGGCTGCGGTGGCTGCGTCGGTGGCTGTTGCTGCGCCTGTGGTGCCGGCGGCGGCTGCTGCTGCTGCTGCCTTCCGTCTCTGTCCTCGGGACCCCCTGGGCCTGGCCCTGGGCCCCCGAGCCCTGGCACTCCACCGGGCCGGACAAAGGGGCCGTGGGGAGGAAAGGGACCTTTCATTCCATGAGGCGGAGGCATCCCGAAGCCCCCGGGGCCTGGTGGCGGACCTCTATGCATCATATGCGGAGGCATGGGACGAGGCGGCATCAAAGGAAAGCGTGGCAGGTGAGGTGGAGGCATTCCTGGCGGGCGCTGGAGTGGGATCAGGCCAGGTCGGGCACCAAGAAGACCAGTGGATGGGGCTTGGAGCCCAATTACTCCTTGCGTACCTGCAAGGCAATAAAAATTAAAGTCTAAATAAAATAACACAGAAGACAGCATATTCTATTTCCAATTATTTCCTGTGGGGCTTGAAGCAAAATGAAATTCAACCCCAAACCTTCAAATTTCATACTGTTTGCCTGTCTACCTAGCAGAAAAATGTGACGGCCCAGTAACAACGCAGGGCAAGCAGTCCTGGAGACACACACTATGTATACACATCTACCTAATATAGGTACAGGTCAAAATAAGCTGCAAAAAGAAATTGTAATATACCAAATTTTGGAAAGAGTATGTCAGAATCTCCTTCTATAGCCTTGACTAGTAGCTGTTTACCACTCAAAATACTTGAGAAACACATGTGCGCTGAGATAAAAGAAATAATGAGATAAAGAACTGAACTATTTGACCCAACTGAAGGTTATTTCAGGTGTACTCTTAGAAGAAAACTTCTTACTCTAAGTCTTAATTTGACTTTTTACTAGGAAAAAATGGGGTCAATGACCCAGAAAATCCAGTGAAGAGGTTTCTTTGATTCTATGTCATTACAATGCTTTGTGCAGTTATTATGCAGTAAGCATTACTTTAATGTTTATAAAATAAAGATCCATGCACAAACGTAGAGTTTATTTTTACAAGTCCCTCTTCAAAGCACAGCATAACGTGTAAACTGCTATGCCGACATGACTGCTGAACAATGCTGCGTGCCCAGCCAGTCGCCTTCTATTCACTTTCCCAAAGGTGGCAAAACGGATAAAGTTAGTGCTGCTGCTGAAAGTGACAATGCCTTTATTTCCCATTTACAGGGGTGTGCTTATGCTGTAAGAATCAAATCCAACCCATCATTTATAATACCATGGAAAAGGAGGATCTGTTGTGGTTCACAACTTAAGTAACAGGTATCGTGGTCTCTCTCAATTTATTTCTCTGCAAATATAAACATCACAAGGCAAATACTATGACCAACAAGTTATTCTAATAAAGGAAAATGTTCCAAATATTGTCAGAATGTGCCATTTACCCATGTACTGCAGAAATGCCTTTGAGCAAGTTGTGCGTTATGACCATCAACTGGCAATGGTGAGAAAAATGCTTGCGTGACACTGACAGAAAAACCACCAGAGAGCAAACCCAATACTTCATCTTTTTGTCCCCAGCATCATATTATTTTATGTTTACAGTTTCAATCACTTCCACTCACTTTAGCATTTAACAAGTCCTATTTGCTCCTAGATTTTCTGTATAAACAATTCATACTAATATGACAGACAAGAATTTCTACTTCAGTTTTTGTTCCTCAGGACATACGGTCCAATACCATTCTGTCAGACTTAGGCACCAAACAGAGTAGACTGGAAAATGTTATGTGCATCGGTTTATAACTCTTAACATGAAGACTCACCGCCCTGGTATTTACTTAAACAGAGTACCTTCTTTTAAATGCTTAAAGAGAAATACATTCAGTGAAAAGGATCTCACATAGGAGCAACCTTGGACACATGCCTCAGAAATGGGGATAATACC